CTTCTGTATTCTTATGATTCTTGACAAATTCAATGAATGATCGAAGCCCTTGAAGCCTATTGACATACCTTCCTCCTTCCATAGCTGCTTTCCTGTGCCATTCTCCTCCCAAGACTCCTCACATCCAGTTTCCAGCTCTCTCTTCAACTCTCGTTTTACTTTTTTTTCTGTAATTTTCAAGTTAGCAGCTGTCGTGTTGATACTGTTTTTTGTGTTTATGATATGATAAAATGATATTATCATATTCATATAATTGTGTTTACATACGAAGAGTGTCAAGTTGGTTAGAGAACATTCGCTGTTTTTCTTATCATAGCTTTTATCGAACCATTCTAGCTCTTTCTAATGACTGAACGGAGTTTCGAAAACATTCCTCTTCTACTTCTTCTTCATTACTTTTCAACTTTAACTTTTATTCTTTTCTCTCTCTTTCTCTCTCTCTCTCTCTCTATTCACGTCTTCATTTGTACTTGTTCATCCATCATCGTGCATCATCAGAATGCTCTTTTGCTCTTCTTCACCGTTCTCTGGTATAGACAGTTTCTTATTTATGCGTATCGTGTGTGTATGAATGTGTGTGTGTGTATGTGTGTCTAATATATAGACTGTATGAGAAAAGCTCTGACGGATCAGAAAGAAGGAGATGATGGAGAGAGCAAGCCATATTAACAGAGAAGTTAGAGAAACGGAGCAAGAAAGCACAGAATAGGGAGAGCGAAAGAGCAAAAAGAAACCAAACTTGAGTACAAATTGTCCTCACAGACAGATAGACCTCTGCTCGATTTTCAGTTCTTCGTCCCATCATGTACACTTTACCTATTTTGTGAGTTTCCACATAAATACATTCTTTTACTATAATACCAAATCTATTCATCCGCAAATAGAAAACTCAATAGAAATTCAAACATATCATTTCAATCGATGATATTTGTCCTGTCCAATATGCTCAGTTCTCCTAGTTATCAGGTCGCCTCCCACTACCTCTCTGCCATTTTTCTCGTTCCTTTGAGTCCTGCGGTTCACTTTCTCGTTATTTCGGACGTTTGGCAGAAACAATGTTTTACTCGAATATGCTATGCTATTTAGCTCAGTAGTTCAGTTGTAGATGGGTCAAACCGTATCCCGGGATGACTTCATATGGACATTAACAGAACAGCCGCATATGAGCCGGCGTGAAGCTATTGTCAAGGCACATCCTGAAATCAAACAGGTTAGTAACACTTTCAAAGTCAGTCTCCCATCCTCTATCACGATTCAATCTTTACCATGTTTTGTTGTTGTTGCATGTATGTAGGCGTTACATGAAATCAATTTCCTGATTCAGTTCCAAACTGACTTCCTCTCTTCTAGCCTCAGCCCTCGCTTCCTGTTTGTAAACGTATTTTTGATATTCAAAACGTCGAATTACAAATAATTTTGAGAACGTTTTAAACAGACACGCGAAAAGAAGTATTTCTCACGTCTGATGTCGCATTCGCTAGTGATGACGTAGCAACACGTTTGGACAAACATACTTACTCGATAAAGTGCTGTCTCAATGAAGTTAAAATTAAAAATGAACAAAATGAAGGAAGATTACAGAATCTAGGTGGCTACTGCACATTGCTTGCATCTTTCTCCCTTCGCAACGACCTCTGTTTACTTAAATACCCATTTTATTTGTATTGGCCTGTAGTCCTTCAGAGGAATTTCACAAATTTTGATCTTAAACATGACTACCCTCATGCCAAATCTCCTTTTGAATGTAACGTCCAGGGAACACCAGCAATATCCTCGACAGCTGTAAGAACAAACAAAGAAAAAGAGAAAGACCACACTTACTCATCGAATGACTAGTACAGATTAACTTCCCCCACTATTTGACTTTCCCGGCTTCCTTTGTTTCTGAAAATATGAAATTTTTGAAAGTTTTTTTCAGTTGTTCGGTGTTGATCCATCTTTCAAATATGTTGTTGTATGTATGGTACTCTTTCAAATTTTCATGTGCTGGCTACTTCAGGGTGAGTTTTCAAGTAACGCCCACTCAACTCAAGTTTTCACTTATTGTAGACGCTGATTGGATTTTAGTGCTTCTGGAGAGCTATCTGTGTGGAGGTGTTATCAATCATGCTATGACTTTAGCTATTCATGACATTTCTCACAACACTGTATATGGCAACAAGTACCCACTATCGGTTTGTTCGCCTTAGACTTTCAAAATCAATGTATCTATTTACAGAACAGATTTTTTGGGTTCTTAGCCAACTTACCCATCGGGGTTCCCATCTCAGTGTCTTTCAAGAAATACCATGTAGAGCACCATCGATATCTAGGTAATGAGTGGAGTGAATAAGTATGATACTAATGACTCACTTTGTAGGAGAAGATGGATTAGATACTGATGTTCCCACTGAGCTTGAAGCTTTATTCTTCACAACTCCTTTCCGTAAAATTCTTTGGTTAGCTTTCCAACCCTTCTTCTACGCCTTCCGTCCACTGATCATTTATAAGAAAGCTCCAACTGATCTGGAAATTTTGAATGCCGTCGTACAGGTATTTCTACGAAGCAAACATTTTCGTTTCTAAAGTATATGTTTCAGATAGGATTTGATCTTATAATATTACAATGTTTCGGTATCAAAGCACTTGTCTACCTCTTGGCTGGAACTGTGATTTCTATGGGATTACATCCATCTGCAGGGCACTTCATATCAGAACATTACATTTTCGATCCTCAACAAGAGACATACAGGTATCCTTAATAAGAAATAGACGACTATAAGCTGAATTGTTAGTTACTATGGTTGGTGGAACTTATGCACATTCAATGTTGGATATCACATGGAGCATCATGACTTCCCTTACATTCCAGGCCGTAACTTGCCATTAGTAATATCAAACAGTCCATGAAAGCAAATCATCTGAAAATTTTCAGGTTAGAAAAATAGCTCCAGAATACTATGAGAACTTACTGCAGCACAAGTCTTGGTCTAAGGTGAGTAAATCAATTTTCGTAGAGCTTCTAATTTTATCTTAATCAGGTCCTGTACGACTTTGTCATGAAACCAGATATGGGTCCATATGCTAGGATAAAGCGAAAACCTCGGGTGCCACAGGCTTTCTATGGAAATAACGTTTTATCAGAATATACTGATGCTGTAAGTCTAGAATACCTGTGTCGTTGTGAGAATGTACATCGTTTCAGCTTCTATATTATCTGGGATACTACGCTATAGTTGAGCGGGCACAAAACATTCTTGATCTCAATAACAATACTAAGAAAATCGATTAGCCAACATCCATACTGGAGAACATATTTGTAAAATAATGTGATAAACAATAAGTGATTATGTTCTCTTAAAAGATGCTCCGCTCGTGTAATTAGCATACGTGGAAGAGTTTATCTGAAAAGTCATTTTCATGAAAATAGACGTGTAGAGCGGTTGCTTTTGTAATTCAACTTCATCAAATATTTTTTTCATAACGCAGAAAAATTAATATGTTATTAAAAATCTCGGTTTGGATATGGCGGAGGACAAGGTATACGACACATTCGTTCTTCATTCTCCTTATCAGGGCATTCCACTTCTTCCCAATCTCCATTTCTTCCTTTCATTACTCGTCGTCTTCTCAACTGAACACCTTCACCACAACTAACTGAACAAGCAGACCATCGCGACCATGGTCCTACTTGACATTGAGATCGTGCTGTAAAATTACTTTTGATTCAAGCTATGCCAGACAATACCTACGACAGGGACGTAACTGACAGCGAAGTTCTTGAATTAAATGTTCAGGCTCTGGACAAGGAGTTCCACCATTTCTTGGGAACGCCTAGAAATGAAAACTATATTCCATAATTGATGTTTCGTCACCTTAATTTGGCGTGAGCGTGTTTTTTTTCCTCGTCCACAAGTGACCGAACAGTTACCCCATGGAGCCCACTCTTGTAACTCGCAGGGCACAGGCATTCCTTGACAAGTAATTGTTCATCTTATGTTAAAGCTTTCCCACCTCCGTCATCAATGAGTCCTTTCGTTTCTCCAAATTCATTGATTAATTGATGATTAGGAACTAAATTTAAAACGTTAATCAAATAGCATAAAAATTATTTGTTTACCTATAGCTTTAGAATGATCGTAGCCGGCTTGGCAAATCCTTTGGCATTCCTCATCAGTTTCGAACTGGTTTCTGTTTCCCTAAAATAAAAGTGTAAATTCAACTGATAATACTGTTTACCTTGCATCCAGTGAATATGAAACGTTCACATTGTGTTGTGTTAGAATTGTACCAGTACCGCGGGAACGTTCCTCCACATTGACCTTCCGACTTAGGCTCTTGACAAATTTCTGAAAAGGAAGATGGTCATGGCTAAAGGCTCAGCGTTCAAATACCTTCAGAGTTCTGCTCTATGAAACGTCGACAAGATTGCATGACACATGTATCTTTCTCTTGTAGGGATACAGAAGAACATCTCTTAACAGCTTGCATAGATAGTCTCACAATAGTATTGTACTTACATGCTCGTGTTCTGCGTAGAAGAACAAACGAGTTCTAATTCTGACTCCATCATCACAACTGGCACTACATGGTGACCATTCGGACCACGAAGTTGTTCTACACAAGGGGTCAGGAGTTACAGAACAATCATCTCCTTGCTCGCCTTAGGAATTAATTATTCAAAGTTACAAAGCTAAAGCTCACCAACACACAAGTCCTTTCTTTCTAGTTCCACATTGCAATTTTCCTCGTTTGTCGAAGAAGACAAGAAGCTTCTTCAAAAAAAACTCATTGATGGAGCTCCTCTACTTCAACCAACCTCTTGCGACTGCGATATCCGTGACCACAAGTGACGCTGCACTCACTCCAAGCACCCCACGAACCAACAGCACATTTAGAATTGAAAGCGTCAGAGTCTGTAGAAAAAAAAAGTTTCGTTTGGTTCAGGTCGACCACAATCCAAACCTTCACATTCGTTCACTTTTGCATTACAGAACTGTCTTTCACTAGTTTCACGATTGCAGTGGAAAATCTGGGCCTGTATTGAAGAGAACAATGATGATTCAATTCAAAAATAATAAAAGTTACCTTGACGGGGAAAACAAAAACTCTGCTTCTCATTCGAATACCTTTTCCACAAGTAGCCGAACACAATGACCAAGGCTCCCATTCGGTCATCAAGCATTCTCCTGAAGAAGTTACGTGAATGACGTGAGAAGATTTTATTGTAATTTGAAAAACGCAAATGACCGGTTGCAGATGGAAAATATATGAAACTCACGTCGATCCTTATATTCCTCATCTTCACTTGTGTTTGTGATATTGTAAGCTTCTTTCTGGTAAACATCGTCAGCTTCACATTTAGCACTGTCGACCTCCTTCCGACGAATTATAATTTTTGCTAAAGGAGGTATCACATCTGAGTCTACATTGTAGAAAGGAGATAGCTGATTGAGGCTTGTCGTGATCCAATGAACTTTCTCTCTAGGTTCGCTTGGACTGTTTGGTGACTGAAACTTCATATTCAAAAATCCTATTAGTAATATCAAACCATGTATGTGGGACCCGAATCAGTTCCAGCATCGAAAGGTTGCAGTTCAAAAGTTCGTTCTTTAACCCAGCTACAGTCCGGTAAACACAAATTGACAGATGAAAGTCCCACACACCAATCAGGTGATGGTCCGAACATAGTAGCCAGAGAAACAAGATGATGGTATCTATAATAATCATACTCAAAAACGAAAAAAATTGCAAGCGAACTTGTTGACAACAAAGGAAGACTTTGTAATTCCTTGGACTTCTGGGTACCAAAGGCCTTTGATTTTCATGAGAGTCCGAACTTCAGATGCCTGCAATCAAGCCAAAGTTGATCTTTAATAAGTTCCTACATACTTTCTCTTTTGCTTCGATTTGAGCTTTGTATGTATTACCCCACTCTGCAATCTCTTTCATGCCATCTGTGGATGGAATCCCAACTTTCCATAAACTATAGTTCGACGAATGGGAAGCTCCAAGCATATCAGTGAAGTGAGTGAGATGTTCTACTAAGAGATCAAGGTTATCAGTAGAAAAACAAACAAGTATACATGTTGGATAATCCTTAGGATGAGTTTCTTTGCTCCAAAGTCCAATGAATTCTAACTCATACTTGGCAGTATCACATGCACAACAGGGTGTATCGGGATTATCATCAATAACAACTTTCTCATAACCATCTACAACAGTGAATATGAAAAAGAAGAAGAGCAAGAATGGCATACCTTGTAGACAGAACTCTTTAGTTAGCTGACTGTCCTCTGAATACCATATATACTTAGACTCGATAACCGAGGCTCGGAACTTGACACAGCCGTCCCAAACCTGAATAGCTCAGTTGATGAAATAGATAAAGAAATAGATACATACTTGAGGAGCTTTCCATGTGACTTCCACATGTGTTTTGGGTCGAAGATTTGAGTGACTGACTCCTGCCGCTCGGCATCCGGGAGAAACTCTGGCATCACCGCGTCCTTTTACAACCTGTTAATTATCTTTTATTTCAAAATGATGAGATTTGAAATCTGTCTGTTAAGTACAGATATAATCGTTGTAATACATTGAAAATAGAGAAAAATGAATGACCTCAAACCTTCCAGCTGGCGCTCCATTGTCAAACTGAGCACTCAGTACAAACCCACGGAAAGATTGCACGGTATATTCTGTCTGCCATCCGCGTACGCGAACTGTAAGTGATTGGTATGGATAACGAATTTTCCCAACTAAGTTCTACTTTTGTAAAGTTCTCCAGGTAAAAATCCTGTTGCTCCTGCTTCGGTTCCGTCTGACTTCACTGTGACTACCTCGATAACGTAGCCATTGTTTCCTGCGCGCTTCTCTCCTTTAGCTTCATATGGACGTATGTTACATCGTTTTGCGCTAGTTATGCAAAATAGATTGAAGCTTAATGTCACCAGGAGAACTACTGACCACGCCTGAGTGGAGCTGGTCATCAAGAGCTCTGAAAAAACGGATAGAACCCTGTGTGAAAGAAGATATTATGAGGTGATAAGAACACAATCTAAACATGTTCTGCGAGTGTGGATAAGAACAGAAAGTCTGAATCAGACAAAACTAGCCAATGTATAGATGAATCTATAGGCGGGGATAAAAGCACAACAGTTGGTGATAGTTAGATTAATGAGCTGTCCAACATCTGCTTTCTCCATTCTGGCCTTTACTTCTGCTCTGATGTTAACCTCTTCAAAATTTCGTGAAAGTTGTCATATGTGTAACAATCTTGGGAACTAATCCTTTTATGACAACAATTAACCCGTAAAACAAAAAAAAGAGCCGTTGGAAAGACTAGAAGAGTTATACAAAAAGAGTTAAAAAATATAACAACAGTAATACACAACAACAAACAACATGCTTTCAAGTAGCCTGAGATACGAAGTTCTTCACGTCGAACAATTCCTCGTATTGACTTTCATCCCAAAGATTTGCCAAATTCCATTGTTCTTCTTCGGTTGTGGAAGGTGCAGATCGCATTTTTTTCTTTGGAGGCCCTGAGGAACTCGAAGACGATCCATTTAGATCACCATCCAGAGTGAACATATTGAGCAATTCTTCAGTAGCCATAGATTCCAGAGATCTATTGTCTGTTCCAATTAAAGCCTGAACATTCACATGTCTTGTCACATACGAAGAATGACAACTCACGTCAGCTGTGTTGAGTTTGAACTTGTGGAAACTCATCACTTTCTCTTCCACAGTTCCTAAGGTAATCAAGCGATAAACATTAACCTTCCGTGTTTGTCCGATACGATGAGCTCTGAAGAAGCAATATCTTGAATCTCCTAACAAGAATGATGTACCTGTCAATAGCTTGTAAATCCTTCATCGGGTTCCAATCGTGGTCCAAGAAAATGACAACATCAGCACCAATCAAATTCAATCCTACTCCGCCAATCTGAAAGTTAAACATACTCTCAACAACAACTACAATTACTAACATGTGTGGTAAGAATGAGAACGTCTATAGTGTGATCATTATTGAAACGGTCTACTACCGATTGCCTCTCATTGGCTGGAACAGTTCCATCGAGAATCAAGTGCGGAACAGGAGTACCGAATTCTCCTCTGAAATCAACACAATTTGAAACGAATATCATTCGGGACGTACTTTTTCAAAAATTCAGATACCAATGCCACGGAAGATTTCCACTGACAGAAGATTAGAGCACGATGAGGCATTTCCAATGTGGTATTAGCAAGCAAATCTTCTGCAAGGATAAAGCATATGCTAATTCGTTCACACGTGAAAGATCGCGGATATTTCATTTTCAAAAAATTTTCGCGCAGAGCGGTTGCTTACCTTCTTCATCTTCCTCGGTTGTCGCATGAGCAGTACCTATACCACATTCGTTCAATAACTGTCCGAGGGCCTCCAATTTTCCAGAAGAAGCTTTCAAAGCCTGAACACCACGATATAAGAAGAATATAAATTTAGCAATACCGATTTCAGCAATTCCTTGGGAGCATCGATTTTTTCCAACACATTGATAATCAAAGAAGGATGATCTACCAGTTTACGTAAGGTGATCAGGGCGTGTAGAGGACTGATACCATCCTTCTCACTAGTTTTCTTTCTGTTTGTAGAGCATCTAGCAAGAAAACAAATCAAAGAAACATCTTATAGTACTCACCGATCAACAACCAGCCTATAAATCTCTGTCTGCTCTGGACTAAGCTTACATTCGTAATCCTGGACGTTTTTATCGGGAAGTTCAGTGAGAACCTGTCAGAAAGATATTTTTCGCTACATTCAACAAGAGAAATACCTCAGACTTCAATCTTCTCATTACGAAAGGTAATATAAGCTTATGGAGTCTCGCAATAGCCTCAGAACCATCCTAAAGATGTTCATCTAAATATCACTCAATGGTAGAAATCTTACTTGTATATCTTTTTCTGTGGCTTTAGCACTGCGACATTTGATAATTTTTCTCAGAAACTGTGCTCGGAAGAGACGCTCATCACCCAAATACCCTGGCATAAGCCAAGTGAACAGAGCCCAAAGATCGGCAGGACTTAAACCAAGGCTTTCAAGACTTTCCTATTCAGAATCAAACCTGTTTTGAACTGGAGTTCCGGAAAGAATCAATCTGCTTGTTGCTTTGAGCTCACAAGCGTTTCTCCAAATGCTGGTTTTCGCATTTCTCATTACATGACCTTCGTCGAAAATTATGTAATTGAAAACAAATTTCCTAAATGAATGATCATTTCGAGGTTTCACACTGGCGAACATACGAAGCATTCTTGTTATTCTTCAGATCATCGTATGCCATAACAATAAGTTCAACGCTAGGAGATATGCCATGTTCGGCTTTCCTAGCTGGAACTCTGTCAGGGAAGAAACGGTTCCATTCATTGCACCAATGATCCACTAATGTTCGAGGACAGAGCACTAACGATGTTTTTGAACTGCAGTTGTCTGGAAAGCATTTGTTATTGCTGAAGTTTTTCACGCAACCACCATAATCATTAGACAAAGCCAGTGTACATATGGTTTGAAGAGTTTTTCCTAAACCCATATCATCAGCTAAGATACCATTCAACCCGAAGCGTCGTAAAAATCTCATCCATGTTATTCCTTCCTAAGAGTAAGTAATGAAATACATCATATATGTGATTCTCTACCAATTGATAATGTCTCAGCTGAATACCTGATCGCAGACCTTTGATTTCTCCTGTTGTTAGTAGGGGAAGTTGAGAAGGAGAGCTCAAGACATTTATGAACTCGGAATTCTCACTAAGTTTTTGCTTGATTTCCTCGTGCAGTCCAGCAATCTCATCTTTCGCCTAGAAACACAAGAATACATCTCTTCTAGGTTTACTTTTCTACCACAAAAGAGAGTAGCGGAACTAAGTTTCGGAAAGTTTCACCAGCTGCATCTCTGATTTCTGGAAGAGTATCAGCCAAACGTTGGAACACTATGGGAGCAAAGAGAGATACGACAGAGGCTATCGTTGTTCCCAAGAACGACAATCTAATACAAACAGATGATCAATCAAAACACAAAAACCGAAGACAACCTTAGGAACACTTCACAAGCCCCCTTTCTCTCGTAATCGTCCGATAAATTCGCCAGCATAGCAGACAGGGTATCATAGAATCTAGAGATTGTATCACCCAGAGAAGATTTAGCAAATGTTGAAACGGCCTTAGATCCAGCATACCTAATAGAACGAAACAGTTATGCTTCCGTGGAAATGGTACGCCAAACCTTTTAGCAGGGTTTTTCGACTTCAGAAGGTCAACTATTCTAATAGTAGACTGATCGGATAGACATGATCCTACTCTCGACCACAAACAGCCGTGAAGCTCCAGGCGACCGATAAGGTCCTAAAAACCTTTTTTTTCTAGATCATGATTATACAACAAACCTCTTCTTTACAATCATTGATGTTGAAATAATCATAGTACTCCGGTAACTGATCCATTGTGAAAGTTGAACAAACCAAAAGCATCAGCTCAGCATTTCTACTAGCTACAGAAGGTTTTACAGTTTCGTTTTTTTGTTGTAAAGAGATGATAGCTTCTGTGTTCTGCTCCCTAAAGGGGCAAAAAAATGCAAATCAATGAAACTGCATGTTGTCCTACCAGTTCTCCACCTTCGGTATTCTTTCTGAGCAACTAAAGAAGTAGTCAATAGTTTTACCCAGAACCTGCAAAAAGGCATTGTACGAAATTCGTGACCACATTGAACCAACCTTCACATATGGCTTAGGAGTTCGTGGCCAACTGAAGACAATCATTAGAGGAATCGCACCCTTGAAAACTTCAGCAGCTACGGTTTCATTTTCTTCCATCTTTCAAAAAAGGGATGTGAGACATTAGGAAGGGAGACACGTACCTGCATGCATTCAACCAACGGTCTCACCATGGGAGTAAGCTTTTCCGGAGCAGATCCAAAGTAGAATAGAGCTGATGAGAGAAAAGACAGCACACGACTTAATAGAATATTACAACAACTCGATTGACATAAGGACTTACTTTGAATTTACTTTAACGGCAAGTTTGGTGAATTCGATCCATTCCGATAACAGCTTGTACCTAGATTGCAAAGCTTCGATCTGCTTTTCACTCTTGTTCCCCGTTGTCAAGCATTTTTCATAAGCAGCCCTGAGAGAAACAAACAACGAAATACTTGGAATTTGAAATGATTACCTGCTTACATCTTCAACAGAAGAATGATCCTGTAGATTCAAATCTTCTCTCTTAACTCCTCTTGTAACACAGTAATCCACAAACTCATTACAATCCTGTGATGAAAATAGTAATAGACTGTAAGGGCAATAGAAACCTGTGTTAGCTGTGAAACAGTGGCGTTCAACTCGGTATAACTTTTGGAATTGTTTCGGAGCACAGCGTCACAGTTTGAAATAACAATCATGGGTGGTTCAACCGAAATTCCCCTGGAAAACAATTATCAACTCGAAATCTAGAATGTCACAAACTTATTGAAATCTGCTTTGTACAATGCGGACCATTCGTTAATCACAAGAGCTGTTCCAAGTACCTGATACAAGCTATTCGATTGAATTGGAGGAACCAAGAAGGATTGGATAGCCTCCTTACTAAAGAAGGGCATCAGGATGGAACTTAGAGAAACTCTTACATATCCTGTCCATTGAGTAAAGCCTCGCTTTTGTAGAGAGAATGAAGGATAGCCGCAACAAACTTGGCTGCCAAAATCTTTCGTGTCACATACACGTTATCCTTCTCTCGGTCTGATAGGAACCTCATCTCTTCACTACACATCCTCTCGTATGGGTCAGTACACTCATTGTTCGAAGAAACATTGGAAGTTACAACATCTGAAGCAAAGGACTTGAACTTGAGATATGGACGGTATACTTACCTATCAAGGGGTTCTTATGATCTAACATCAAACAACTACACCAGAATCCTATGCTTTTACCCAGCCCATTCTCGGCACTTACTGCTTCTGGAGAGAAAAGAAGATCTCTGTAATTGTCATTTGAATATTCATATACACGTTCCTAAATAAGTCCTTACTTGTATCGCGTGAGAACTCTTAGTTCTGTCAGATAGACAAGCTCTAGTAGAACAAGATCATCAGAAGGAGCGCTGAACAGGATCACTCGATAGAACTGTTTCAGAAGGAAAAACAAATCCTGAGAATGAGAAATAAAACAAAAGAACTTGAAATAGAAAACTAACATTGCTATTGAGAACAGCCTCGCCTCTATCGATAGCCACAGACAGCAGAGAAATAATTTTCAAAGTTCTTGTATTGAAGGATGAATCAATCATGGATATGATAGTAAGAAAATCATCTCTGGACAACTGAGCATTATTATCCACTCGCAGCCAGGTATCAACTATAACCATGAGGTCAATCGCTAGTGCATCCAATCCTGATCGAATCTTAGAAATATCAAAGTTATAATTCATAAGTTCCCTTCACTAACTTGATCCTTCTTGGCTTCGTTCCTCAATAGCCTCCAAATACTTTTCATGGCTTCGTCGATGTACTCTGTTTTCGCCAAGCCCAATGAGTCATTGGATAAGAAGGAAGATAAAGCCGAAACAGCACATGACACAACCTAATAATAAATAATATTCTCGAGAAAGAAAACTTTAAAAACTCACATCATCTATTGAGTCATCTAATGTCTTCAAAACTAAACGAAAACACGAATTGAAAAGATCCGAAGACGATGTGATAGCGAAGAAGTATTTCAAAACTAGTAAGGAGCTTTGTCTACAATGCCACATCTTAAACCCGAGCAGGATGAGTTAAACAATTGAAGCAAGATCTAACCTTCTCCCCTTTAGTTTCTAGCATAGTCTGAACATGTCTGAGGATACAGCTTTTTCTTTCTTCATCACATTTATGAAGAAGGTGTCCTAAAGCTTGGGCACAAGTTTCTCTAACAGGAGCAGTCGCACTTCTACCTTAAATCATATACATTGTGTGAAGAAACATTTTCAGTTCAATACCCGAAACAAAATCATTGAATTGATCCAACACTAGGACTTGTAGTAACCTTAACGCTGCGAAGTCTATCGCCCAAGAAGGAATCCTGAAAGGCATGTTAGTTGTGGCACGAAACTGAGGAAACCTTTGATATGATCCAGCTATGATTTTTGATAAAGCCAATGCCACTCCATGACGGACATACCACCGTTGGTCAGCTAACAAAGGGATGAGCCTACAACAAAAGAATTCATTCGAGGTTAGCAAGTTTGAAGTTACCGATTGAAAAACTGTAGCAAAGCTATATCTTCCCCGTTGTCTTCCGAAACTTCTAATTTCACATCCGTGAGTAGACCGAAATTGGCCTCCTAACAAAACATCAACTTGTTGTAGACTTTATGTGTATTGCTAACCTCCTTATCATGACTAGGACTACTTCCACTACTATGTTCCCCAGGCAACACCTCTGACTCGGCTAGAAATCCAGCCTAAACGTTTCCAATCCACATAACGTTTCTTCAATACAATTCGATACCGAGCTTATGCCTGTTGCTGATTGTAAATTCAAATGTTCATCAATAATTTGTCGTTGTTGACGATAATTTAAACGCTGTTTGTCGGCCTTTCCAATTGTGGCACTGTCGACACTAGAAGTGAATCAAAGTTATTCTTCTAATCCCCCAGGTTCAGTCATGCCTCAGTAAAGCTTTGTATGTAGAAATAACTTTGTAAATGTCTAATGTTGATAATTCAGGAGCAATGTTCTGGAGCTCTTGTTTCACTTTATTATCAGGAAGATGGGAAACGACGGCGAACACGGCATCGGCTGCTGATACACGACAATCCCATGACACAGATGATAAATATTTTAGTAAAATCTATAATAATAATGAGGCACTAGATTCTCTTGCCTTAACGATGCTTATCCCAACCTCCTCAACCTTTTTATCACATAGTGAATAGCTCGCAAAAGCTTGAGCTGATTCCCGTCGAACAGAACGATTTTTTGATTCAAGTAGGGTACCCAAGTGAGCTAATCTTGAATCACCCATCCACGTTTAAATAATTTGATAGAAGAATGAAGCTGAAAGAGGAAAAGTTAAATAATAAAACAGTTTCTGAAGCTCAAAGTGGGTTCTTGGAAAGTTCTTCATTTAGTCGCAAAATACAACGCTGTTGCGTATGCGCATCAACACCGCTTTCAAAAATTGTCAATAAACAGGCTTTGAGAACTTTGAAAAAGTCTTCGACAAACGTTTTTACGGTTTATTCTGAGATGTGATGTTATTAGGAAGTACTGGAGATTAGAACAGAATGGTAAGAAGAAGAAAAGTCGTGAATGTTTCCATTTCTATCGCGTAGTTCGTGAAGAGCGGTTGTATTTGATTTCGATGAAGAGCTCTTGGAAGAACTTGTGTACTGAAAAAGTTGTCTGAAACTTAAGTTTTCTATAAATGAAAACAAAACATAGTTATCTTGTCACTCGACCTGCATTCATTGATAACATATCTTGTTTTTTTCCTTTCATAACAGCATTCGATCTTTTAACTTTATCGATTTTCTTGACTTCTCTCAGCATTAGAGTTGACGATGATTTTCAAGAATCTAGTGTTTCCTTTTTTGTATTCGAACTTCTTCTCACTTCAATACTGCTGTCTTCATTCCATGTGTGTTTATTTGCGAGTTGTCTCCCGACCACGATCTCTTCCCTCATTCCGTCCCACTTGGAATCTTTATAATCCCTTTCTCTCTCTCTGGAATCTAGATATTTCAAATTGCTCACTTCTTCTTCGAAACCGTCCGCTGTTTTTTTCGCAAACGAATTTTTCTAAGAACATCAGATTGAGTTCAAGAAATCAAATCAGATCTACTGTTTGTGAAAAAACTGATTCAATTGTTTACTTAACCTTCAAAATCCATATTAGTCAAAGAAACTTTCGTTGCTGTACAAATGTTTTGAACGTAAGGGTTCAATTTGTTTTTTGAATATACTTTGACCTGTTGAGCTTTCATAAAGGGTGGGTGTAGCGATTTGCTATCAATGTCAGCTTTCGTGTGGAGAAACGTTGCCAACCATTGAGTTTCGTATGTGTTTTCGTATCATTATCATTGAAATATCAAACGAGAAGCATGACTTTCTTGATAACAAACTTGAAAAAAGGAATGTTCATAACATATTCGCAGATTTCCTATCTTATCGCGGACATTCGTTGTGCACATTTGTTTGAAGCTCGCTCTCCCTAAGTTTATCATAATATTGGATTGTAACGGTCAATTCAAAGTAGTTTGCACTTCAAATCAACCAGCTCACATTTCATTTTTATGATCAAAATGCCTTTTTTTTTCATTGAAGCCGGTTCTCCTCCCTTGCAAATGCAATGGACGAAACATCTATTAAAGATTTCCAACTTTTTCTTTACCATAGGATTATCGGCAATTTCGTAATTGAACCTCAATTTTCCGTGTCTTTTCATTGAGCGACTCAATGACGTTTTCTCATTTTTTCTTTGTTTGTCACCCTAATGATAGCCTTCCGTATAAATATGTGTTTTTTTGCTTCTCAATTTCTAATTTCTTGCTTATTCAACAAAGATGTCTTAGCGCAATCCGCTTACCACCTACACTGGTTGGTGGAGATAGAAGCAACCGATCTGTTAGTACACGTAGCATGAAATAACTCTCACGTGAACTTGATAAAGCTTACGTGGTATTTCAAAGTTAGCATAGTGGCTTCTGTTGCAAACTACAACATCGAATGTAACTAGTTTGTTGTGAGTTTTCACATTATTCACGATTGTCCATGTTCTACACACATGATTGATGTGTGCAGAACGTCCTCATCCATTGTACAGTTAATCAAATTCACATTTGTATTTGTTCGAACTATAATCTCAAGTAGTCAATTAGTTGTGTTAACCAGATTCGTTATGTGTCAAACGATCAGAGCTTTTCATTTGTTTTTTCGGTAAACTAATGTATTTCATGACCACTCATTGATCCGTTTTCTTACATCATAAAGCTATGCATCTGTTTCGTTGTGAGGAATAGACAATCCAGTTTCAAAGAGACCTAGCCTAGACAGATTAGACTGTGGGCCACCTAGTCTGTCTCACCGACTTTCCAGTTAGCATCTCACCTCCTCTCTTCTCTCACTTTTCTCATTTCTCTTCTCTCTTCTAATAAACTCATCATCTGTTTCCTTGACGAAGAGCTGCCATTATACAGCTGGCCCTGAATGTTAATTTTTCATCTTTTTGTTGCATTCGTCTCTGACCGCCTATTTCAAATATGAAACATCAGCTTTGGTCCCAACAAACACCGGCACATATAGGTTTCTTGAGTTCCCAAACACACAATGATTAAGAGTTTTTTATGATTTTATATTTACTTTCAACTGTTCACAACTTATCACATGCACACCTCTTTTGATAAAACTTTTATTTGCCTCGCAATCTCTTCTCGTTCCAATCATATGCTCTCACACTTCTTTATCTTTGAATTTGAGAAACACAAAGTTGTTCATTTCCATTTTCTTTTCGTTTCAGAGCACATAATGATTACTATCCATGCATTAGAGCAAATGATGAAAGAAAGGATTTGCTGTGATGTGTCAACAGAACTTCCGGTGCAATTGCCCGGCTATCCAGTCAAGGTCAGAAATGATTTTTGACATTCGAAATAACTTTAAATGTTCTTTGTAGGGAACAATTTCCATCAATTTCATTAAACCATCATGTATAACCAACATATCGGCACGTTTGTTAGGCGATGGAGAGGTTAACTTCACTTCAAAAGTAGTTTTACCTTTCACACTCAATACACTAACTTCCATCATTCATAGGAGCATTACCATTTCTATAATCGACGGGTATATGTGGATGAGACTCAAGAGTTATGGAGACACAGTACAATCAACAAGATGTTGGACATGCAAGTTGATCAGAATCAGGTTAATACAATTCAGCTTCACTAACACAGTCTTCATTTTTGAACATTCAGAATTCAAGCCGAGTACTACAAGGAAGGTTTTCGTTCAATTTTAATTTCAACTTACCGGACGATTGTGTGACTTCATTCCACTGCCCTAATTCGCCAGTTAGTATTCGTTATATGATTGAGGTGAGTGACATCTTCTTACACTTCATCGTCATTGAACAATCTTCTTCAGTTCCGATTTTACACTGGCGAAGCTTATGCGACTCATGAACATGGCATAACCGTTCTAGCTCCTATCGGTGTTCGTCGAGACAGCATTATTCATAAGAGTGTACATTCGAAGATCTATCGCTTTCCAAAGTATTTGCAAATCGAAAATGCTTTTTTCCTAATATTTCTCGTTTTCAGGGATCGCGAAATCTTTTTGGAATGTACATTAGACCGAACCATTTTCCGTACAGCTGATCCTATTGCTGCTCATATAGTTGTGACAAATAAGTAACGCGCAAACAATTACAATCTATTTCATAATATAAGCTTTAGATGGAAGCAATCATTGAAATATGTTCACATGAGCATTGTGCGATGTATCACAGCTGAAGGTTACATGATTGACAATTCCAAACTGCTTGATAAACATACCGCCTTCATTGACACAACAGGTACATAATTATTTTCATTTTATACATAAAATGATACAAAAAAGGACATTGTCGAGTCGTAATAGCATTGCTGTCTTTTATGATTCGAAAAAAGGATTTTATGCTAATACAACCGCTCTATGTGACAATCAAAATCAAAATGAAATGTTTTGCTGCGCCTAACGCTCTCCATATGCTAATTAGATGATAATTTCGAAAAAAACGAGAGAGCACTTTTATAGGTGTTGGTCTGCCCTCTTCACATCCTAAAATAGCGATCGGGGAAACGTTCAACTTCTGTCCAGACTTCAATGTTCCCGCATTACCACCATCTATGGATGTTGGAATGTTCATGACAGCTTCATATTATTTAAAAATAGCCATTGGAAGAGCTCATAACTATGTATTGGCAACACTCAAGGTAAGATCTCTCGGTCCTCCACCTGACACTCTCTTCCATTTATTATTTTCCAGATCCCAATAACTATTGTAACAGACGTGCTTGAAGCAGACAGTATGATAACACCTGTGTCTTATGATGGTATTGCAAACAGAAAGCAGACAAAACATCTTTTTATTTTCAGATATGCTTGTTGATTTGTCTCCAACAGTTTCCTCTCCAGCAACATCGTTCCCACAAGTCGTTGACTTGTTAGCATAAAACAACTGCTGCAGTTCTCAAACGGGTATTAAGAAATGAAAACAGAATATTAATAATAATTTTAAAAATACTTGGAGAACCTTAGTATCTATTCTCCACCTGTCCCCCCCTTCCTTTCCAGTGTTCTAAATCCTTTGATACTTCTATTGAACTCGTGTGTGCCTGATACCTCATATATCGCTATTATTACGGTTTATTGTATTTTGTATGATTATAATAATAACTAAGTCGAAGATAACTTTAAAAGTTTTTTTAAATCATTAATAAAGATCTGACAATATTTATTTTCATTTGAATGTTCACTATCACGAATATTAAGAGAGAGAGAGATTGTATAGAGAGAGAGATAGAGAAGATATCATTGTGCATGAGCTGATGATGAAGGTGTATCTTCTGATGTATGTGATGTCTGTGTCTGTGCTAGTACTGGTGGATCCACAACTTGTACAACATCTGTAAGCATATGATATGAGTCCATGAATGTATTTCCTAATTTCCTCTTTCCCATGTTTGGGAGAAAAAAAAAGTTTTCCTTCTATCGTACTCCTTTACGCTCAATCAACAGGTTTTCTACACATCAAAACCACTTTAAGTTACCAATTAGATTCTCTCTCAACTTCTCGTCTTCTTCTTTTCATTTTTCAAATTATTAATCGAATTATAAAAAATATTTTGATAAGTCTATGATCAAGATATCGATTAACAAGATTAAAAGAGACAAGGAGAGCCTTCTTAGAAGTTGATGTGATGGGTGAGGTTGTGTGTGTGTGTGACACTGATGTAGTAGATGTTGTTGATCATGAGGTGAGGAGGGGGGGGGAAGGAGTTAGTGAGTGGGAGAAGATGAAATGAAAGTTCACCTGATTTATGTTTTGAAGCTTCCAACTTCTCTTCTTCGGCTTTCTCTAGTTCTTCCTTATCCAGAATAACTTTTACATGTCCACGTAGTAACGTCGATCCCCATAAAAACTTTGGATCAATTGTTTCCGTTTTTCCATTTATAAGACGACGACCATCTAAAGACATTTCCTTTCAACGATAAAATCAGGTAAAAAAACATTCAAAGGATTAATTTCTTGATGAAATTAAGCAGAAAATCTTCAGGAAAACGAACCTTCCGTATACGTGACAACATCTCTTTCTTTTACTTCTGTGAATGTTTTTCGATCTTCTTCATTGAGCTGCAAAGATGAGAGAATGAGTATACTAGTTGCTGCATATCTATGAGATAGTCATACCTGTGGAGCATTCTTGTTGGTGTTGGTGGAGTAGAACTCTACTCCATCACTAGGTGAATTCATCATTCCCAACATGTTATAATATGTATCTGCAAGAGATAGATATATAGAGAGATATAGAGAAAGAAAGAGAGAGCAAGAGGTATAAGCTCAATTGACTTGAGAAGAGTTTGCATGTTTACGAACAGAACAGAGAGTAGTCAGTCACACTGTTTTACAAGAAATGAGAACTATAATAGATGTGAAAATGAGATAAAATCGAGTTAGTTGGGAAAAGGGGGGGGGGGAGAGTAGGGAGGAAGAGGAATGGAAGACTACAGAGGGAAAGGATTTGTTCTACAAGGAGAGACGTAATGATGAAGTTCACTAGAAGGACAGCAACTTTCCTTATCAGAAGGAAGAAGAGGAAGAGAAGTGAAAGAGGTTGACTTCATTGGTACCAATCTGCGAAGATTAATAGAGCGAACTGAGCAGAATTGGTCTCCTTTATAAACATAATTGAAAGTCTTTTCTTGCCAAATAACGCTGATTATCTAGCATTCTCATCAGGTATTAGTCAAACCTTCGAAATTTGCGGAATAAAACCAGATAATGAGAATATGAAAAGGACGGACGGTGTGGAGTTGAAAGATCAGATGACTCATCAAACGTCTCGTGGCCTGCCAAGCTTTTTTCCGCTTCAAAAGGTTTTTTACGAATACATTTTACATGAGAAGAAAATGTTAATTCGATGTAGAGGATAGCAAATTGAACGTCATTGCAAAACAATTGTCAGAAGAAAAGATGAAAATTGATAGCAGACAATCGTCGTCGTCGTTGGGCTTCATAAAAATTTTTGTAGAAGGCGAAGTAGTTACGTCGTTGTGTCTACTTCTTCTTCAACTCTACATCGTCATAGTCATTGGATCATATAGACATGATGTCAATAGTGAGGAGGAAGAGGGAAAGGTTTTCTCTCTTTATTTCGTCCATCTCTCTCTCTCTATCCATCTCTCTCTGTGTTAATTCAGAAGAGAGGAAGAAAATAATAGTTACAATTAAAGAAATTAAATCATAAAAAATAAATGAAAGATGTTGTTTGTTAAGTGACAAGATGATCATGATTGATGTTAAAGAGAGTGCGAGAGAGAGAGAGAGAGTGGCGTATTTGGAGAATACAATTGAGATCGTTTGTTGAACAGATTCAATTCAGCCAGACCATATATATGATTGTTGAAAGCTTAACACATGACGGATAGTCTTCTCAAGGCTTTAACTTTAATTTTCATTATAATTCAAAGAGCTTCTAATGATTTGCAGAGAAAGTGAAGAGAGAAAGACATCAGGTTACATTAGAAATTATCATTCTTATTATATATATATATATATATGTGACATATGACTAACAGACTACACGTCATTGAAAATGGAGATAACCAGCAAAAGTTGGAAGCTTAAGAGATTTTCATAGAGGATTAAACGCCTTTTCGCGTCATTTTTTTGTTATCAAAAGAACCTTTTTGTAATCGTTTTCACTAGAATTTCATAGTCTCATCGAGTCACTATAGGTCAAACTAATTCTTTGCCCACACTCTTCTTCCTGTCTAGCCGTTCTTCAAAGAGACACGTACGCTCGCACACACCTATATTGCGCATAAACTACACTGAGATGTATTCTACCCCTAATTCCATCATATCGTAACATCAACATCATATTTCTTTATTTCATTTTTCTTACAACATGACGATCGTTTTCAAATAATACACACAACGTTTACCATCTTGGTGATAGCTTATGCCAGACAGCAATCGGTTGTTCCGGATGATGAATGACGTCATGCCATTGCTTCATTCCCGAATCTCCACCAAGATTACCAACAATTGCATGTCCAATTTCATCATTAGCCCCAACTAAGTCATAATCCATGACCTCAAATATGCATTTTTATTCGATTTAAACTTATAAATTATTATATACTTACCGTAACGACCAAATTGACTTCCTTCTCCAAAATCTCGCGAGGTGGCACATTGAAGGCAAAACTTTCATTGAATATTGGCGTCAATGTCTGCGGCTTGACGGCTGTTTTTCGTTTTTCCAACTTATTACCTTGTTGAACAAGCCATAGTTTGACGTAGGGATCTGAAACATCATATTGTTAATGAAATTTGAAAATATAAATATATGAATTAAACAAATGCTTCATAATACAAAGTACTCGTATACTATGCGTTATAGAGAATCGAATAAAATTCATTTCAAATGGTCATTTGTTGTGAGTATCACAGATGCTTACCTGAACTTCCAAGCTTGTCCTTAGCTTTCAATTCACGAGCTTTAATAACACTCACGGTTATCTTATTCAGTTCTGGCAAGTAACAAAGAGAGACCATCAGTTCGCCGCATTGTTCCTACAATCAAAGACAATGCGTTTAGATTGCTATTCAGATGATGCCATCTTACTTGAGATACAGTTGGTCGTTGAAGATGCTTCCAATAGACGGGGCTGTTATCGAATTTGACATTCTTTAAAGGCAACAGAATTTCTCCGATCGGATCATCTGCCGAAAATCTGAAAATTATTAGTTTGAATGTTGAAAAGGCAAATAGCAAAACAAGCAATGCAACCAGTTCATTAGTGGAATATGTTGAAAATGAGAAAATCATAATCCACATATAAATCCACGTGTAAGTGGGTTTAAGATGCACGTGAATAATTATGAAAAATATGCTAATTTGACGAACCGGTCGTAATCCATTACTTGCATAACAAGCGTCATGTCATGAAGCTTCTTCATTGAATGCCCTGAATGAGAGAACATGAAGTACATACATGGAGATGTTTTTAAATAATATTATGTTTCACCTAAATCTTTACGGAAGTAAATGGCAGCAAACATTCACTGTGAAGTGTCTGTTTCAAGAAAGCTTTCAAGAGGGAAGTATCAAAATGTGTTGAAAAGGTATTTGGAGAGTTGGGGTATAACGATTGAGAGAGAGCAAGAGAGAAGGAGTGAGAGAGAGGGACTGAGAGAGAAGGAGTGTGGGTTGGTTGTGTTGGACAAATTATAATAAAGTTAATATTTATAAATGAATATTTGAATATTCTATTTGTGGCAAATGATAAGAAAAGACAAATAAAAATTACTTTTCGATGAGATATAGCCGCTGGCAGCGTTTGGTGACGAAGAGAGTAAGCCTCGTCGATCGCATAAAGTCAATGATCGATCTTGGCGATGTCTAGTAGCTTTACGTCTATTATCAATTGAAATAATTCCACGTAAGGAATGGACAGCTGCTATATGATTCATCAAAGACACATTGAGAGGGGGCCGTGAAGCTGAGAGAATGAAAATGAAATGAAAAATGAAATTAAAATTGCCATTTCTCACACATACAACTAAAGACTGAACTTCTTGATAAAATTGGCTTAACTAGAGAAATAATTGTGTGTTGCGAGCACATGGCACAACTTCCCTCCTTTTTTCATTTTTACATCACAATTCTATTGTTGCTTGGAAATCAAGTAAGGAAAGAGAGATGAGAGAGAGAGGGGAGAAAGGAGGGGGATAGATGAAAGAGAAGGAGAGAATGAGGGAAATCGAGATTTTGTAATAAAAACAAGGAAAATTGTTATTTAGCCGATTGAATTACTTCGCTTACCAGGAAATGATAATGTTTGATGGAATTTAGGATTGAGATTGCGACGATGGACCTTCGTTCTCTCAGATCTGTTGGGCTGTTGGAGAATGAACACACGAACGTACGGATCGGAACTTCCTTAAATAGCGAAATTATGTTTTTCGGTCAAACTATATTATATTTGTTAATCGTTTACTTTGGCCAACTGCCATTAAAGACTTTATACATGATTGAGCACAATGTCTTTTCGTTCGTTGTTCATTCACTTAGGCTTTCATTCGACTTATACTTATGAATACACTTCTTTGAGACACATACACTTCTTCTTTGATCTGTAATCTTTGTCCTGTCTAGCTAAAGGTTATCACTTCCTCATAAGCACTTCAAGTTGGTCATGTCTCATTAACCGTTAATGGCAATATGCTTTCTCTCTAGTACTCTGTTGTGATGCTGTTTCTGTGAAACAGACCTGTGAAATCCTTGACAGGGAGATCCATGGCTTCCAAGAGATGTACATGCAAAGTACTACACTCTCTCTCATATGTAATGGAGAAGTTCAATTTTCCTCGATACTCCCCAACAACTTCTGGTTTCAAAGTGTCAATGACGTTCTAAATGAGGGTGTTCAGATCATCTGGTTTTAAGAAGCACTAGTAACCTGGCTCTTCCATGGTATGGTATGAGCCAGTTTGCTTCGAAGAGAAGTTGTTGGTTGAACTTGTTGAGTGATGATCTGAGGAGCCAACCGATCCGGACTAAGATATTACGTAGGAAAGAACAAAACAAACAAATTACTGGAAAAGAGCTGCTTGCTGCTCACAGTCAAGACGGTCCAAATCAATCGGTTTTCTCATTCTGAATGGGCTCAAGTTAATAAACATAAGTTCCCATATTGATTTTGCATTTCTAGACGTTCTAGTTTCAATTACGCCATGAAGCGCTTCTGTTATGAATATCTAATGGCTGTCGAGCAATTTTTAGAATAAGAAGCAAACCTGTAGATCATCACAGCGAAAACGAAGAATGAAGTTGAAAGAGCAGCTGCCATGACGTAGACGACATATAAAGGAATGGTGATAACAGCTTCTGGTGTATCTACGTTATCATCTTCATAGTACATCATCGTTTCGGTTGTTGGTTACCCCTATAAACGGCAAACGATGAGTATTAAAGAGATGGTTTCGAATATCAAAGAGAGAGAGAGAGGGGGAGAGACAATTGCAAAAAGAAATGCTCTTGTTTCCATGAAATGGTTGCTATAGATTGTGTCGTGGTGGTAGAAGCTGAAATGAGGGAACACTTTTGGAAGGAAAAAAAAATGTTTGAAACTCCAGATGTGGGATATGTGAGAACGACAACAAGTTTATGGTGAGAGAGAGAGAAGGTAAAAGGTATGAAACTCTATTGTTTTTGAAAATTTGAAAGTTTGATGGTAAAGTTTCATCCGAATTTCTGTGATGATGAAGATGATATGGTTAGATCGGAAGATGGGCGAGGATTAGTCTATTTATGAAAGATTATTTCTGTTGTTATGTGGAATCTTTTAAGATTCTTAACAATCTGATATCATTGTGAGGGATATCATTGATATAGACAGACATGTTAGGATGTATCTCTCTCTATCTATATACTATGTGTATATATAGTTAGTGGAGAAAATAAAAAATTAAGGAAACATCATTAATGGCCGGAAGGTGATCTTTGAGTAGATCAAATCTGTTGAAAGCTCATGAGCAGCGAAAAAAAAAGAGGATGGAAAGAGGAAGAAGAAGAAGGTGAAGGAGAAGAAGAAGAAGAAGAAGAAGATTAAGACGTTTTTATGGCAATCACATCATCATCAGCTTCTTCTTCCTGCTAATCGTACGTGAAGTATTGAATGAGGAAATATTCTTCTTAAGATATGAAAATGCTATACAAGGACTGTCCACGAGCACATTTGCATATTCTGAATCTCGTTTGAATATAAAGAGAGATGGAGTCTTGAATTCTCAGGAAATTCAGCCTTCTCTTCAAAATCTATTTTGGATAATAAAGCAACAGTGTGATGGAAAAAAATATTAAAAATAGATGTTACATGTGAAAGATGGAGATGTGGGCGAGGCACACACACATACATACACATATGAAGCATATGAAGAAGCTTCTTGTTCTACTTCATCGTGTTCAGCTTCATTCCTTCCCGTAGCTTCTCATCAGATATTGAGCCATTTTTAGGCGGAAGTTTTCATGTAAATGGAATAATTTAACCTGCAAGCCTTCATTCCGGAAAACTTTACGTTTTACATCAAAAAATGAATTTTGAATATGGACGCTGATTATCTATCTATGATCCGTCTGATCTTAATAGGAAAGACGCACAAGAGAATGAAGAAACAGAAGGAAGAGGAGAAGCTGCATGGAGAGAAAGAGAGAGAAGAGAGTTCCTCCAACATCACGTAAATAAGAATCTTAAATCGTTTATCAAGAAAAAGGAACAAACTTCAAAATATAGATTATGAAGCTTGAGCTATGAGGCTTTTCCTTCAAACTACGTCTGCCAACAACTCCAAAGTACTTCTGTTTAATTTACCGGAAGCCGTTGAGAAAAGTCTTTAACCTTTTCAAAATGGGTATGTCGTCGTTGTCATTGGCTCATCTGATTCTGCTACCACAAAGATACATATATATAGAGAGAGAGAAAGAAAAGGAAGATATGATCAGATGAGAAAAGTTATGAAAATGATTTGCAAGAGATGAAAAGGAGCATTTCTTTTCTTCTTTCCTTGTTCGAAGAGCATATTGCCTCGAGCGACAAACAGCCGCCTCAGGCATTTTTCTTCAGAAAAAAGCAAAAAAAAGAAAAATTAAAAAAAAAAGGTTTTTTTTATTTCTCTGTTTCATAAAATTTTGAGAAGAAAATGAAATGAACTAATAAGCAGAGAGAAATTGAAGAGAGAGAGAGAGAGAGAGAAACGAAACAAGCGAAACTCTCATGCATTACAGATGTTTCCTCAGCGTTGAACTTAGAGCTTAATGCTCTCTCTCTCTCTCTTTCTCTCTCTTATTCGTTTTTAACATTATTAATGCTTTCATTTAACTCACCAACTTGTGATGGCCATCAAAGGAGCATAAACTTCTCAAAAAAAACATTTCCGTTGGCAGTTACAATATAGGATGTCTTATGAAATTATTTGAATAAAGCCTCTTTCTTCATCAATTAAGTAGTAAAAGTGAGTTATGAGACTATAGAAGGCAAGATGAACAACGAAGGAGGCTAAGCAGCAATGGTGCACAGAGAACAAGAATGAAGTTTAAACTCTTTGTCAACTATTGATTAGAGTTATGCTAATTACACGTTAACTCAATGTCTTTCACGTGTAACTACATTCATATTGATTATATGAAACGGTTACAAGCGGCTGTGTGCTCATTCTCTCTCTCTCTCTCTCTCTCTCTCTCTCTCTCTCTTTTACTATCTGTATTGGTAACTACCTTCTGTAACTCCCTCTATAACTCATTTCGTCTCTCTCTCTCTCTCTCTCTCTCTACCTCCTCCCTCTATGTTACAAGCAAATATTAATGTTTTTGAGTGAACTTATAGAACATTAAAATGAAATTGTGGATTTTTAATGCTTTTCCTTCCATCGAAAAGCTCAAAAGAGATCAAAAATGTGAAGAATCTAAGAGTGAAAGGTCGCAAACGAAGGGAAAGTTGCAGAAAATAATCAGAAACTGCACAAAAACATAAGAAACTAATTAATTCTCTATAATGTTAAGTGATGGAAAAACATCCCTGAGGTTTTTCTAATGAAAACATCGTCTAAGGGCATACAGAGCATTCAAAAAAATTATAAAAAAGAGATGACGTCATGGGTGGGGGAGAGAGACAGATAGGTGATTGAGAAGATGGGATGGAAAACTTAGATGAGACTAACGGCTTCATAGTTAGTTTGAGAGATTGAGAGAGAGAGTGAGAGTGAGAGAGAAAGAGAGAGAGAGAGAGAGAGTAAAGGTGAACACGATCAAAAAGCCAAAGATAATTGTAAAATCAAATATTTTATTTATTAATTATGCGTTGTATGGATGGATATGACCGGGGTGGGATGAAAGGCAAGAGAATCGAGAAAGTGAAAATGAAAATGGAAATGCCTTCAATAATCAAATTGAGGACTATTCAGAAGGTTCGGTGTTGATAGGAATACAATTAGTGTTGTACAAACAATTAGAAAAGTGAATAAGAATAAGCAAAGACGATCTATCACCATAGCCATGAATTGCCAATCGTTCTGCAAGTCACCATCCTTCTCTTCTTCTTCAAGTCTCTCCTTTAATGAAAAAGAGGGAGAGTTGTAGCTAGTAGTAGTATAGATGAACCTTGAAAGAATGTAATAATTGGACTATTTCCTTTAATCCGGATTCCAATGGTGTATAAACGGACAAGTAATCCGTGTTTTCGACCAGCCGAGGACGAAATGATGAAGCTGCAAGAGAGCATAGTACTAGTTATCGTAATTCAAATTTCAGTTTTCTGACCATCTTTACAATTCTCCATATTATCATTATCTATGTTAATGCGATGTATAAGACGACATTGATCCTTCTGATCAAGTAAGCGACTTGATTCTGGTGTTGTACTCTTAAAACAAACATTAGTTGTAATCATTAGATGAAGATGATTGGTAGTACAGCTTGGCTTGTTGTACTTGTCTCATCATCTGCTCGTGATTCCTTTTTTGGCTTTCGAAACTGTCTGCCTGGTCTGGACATCAAAAGGATCCATGGAAGAAATTCCAAAAAGATATAACGTGTCTGAACATGAAATTGTTTTTTTTATTTTCTCATCGTCTCATCAAATATCCCAACCCAACTACCCATTTCATGAGTTCTCGGTGATCTAAAATGGACATTAATAATAACTAAAGTTGCAATGATGGAGCATCCAAGTATCAGCATGGACAAAGAGAAAAAAGCAGCTGAAAAGAAGGAAAAAAATAAGATCTGTAAGCATGTGTGTGGGACACAACATGAAGAAGAAGAAGGAAATATTCACCGATGACTGGTATAGATTCAGATGTTGGCGGTGTGACATCAGATACCATGCCAAGGAAGACAGTAACGGAGAGCAGATTTGTAATTTCTATACAACATGATTAAGGGTATATGTGAAAGGACTGTTGAAGCCTACGTAATGTTATCTTCTCTCCACATTCAGGCGGCATTGTAAATCCCAATACATTGGATAAGGAGATAAGTACAGATGGTACTATCCAATTCAAGCCATAGTATAATGTCTTTCGTTTGATATGCATCTTGAAATACAATTCAACGTATTTGTCTCCTTTGAATTCTGTGGCGATACGTTCAGCTGGTGTTGCTGAAAGTAGCAGAGAAAACAATAATATTTAAATGCGTACTTGTTAGCATAATTTATATACCTAATAGCTCAAATTCCCCATTTGGTAAATAATATTGTAAATCCATTTTATGTCTATCACTCAAATCCGTATCATCGATATGAAGATCTAACTTTGATCCTGTATACGTCCACGATCCATACTTAAATGAGAAAAAGAATTAAATATTCATATGAATGGAGAGAGAGAGTGAGATAGAGGGAGGAGAGGAGGAGATGAGCAAAGTTATTGCCAATCGTAAGCATCCTATGCACAACACATGGATGGATAAGCTCATCATAATGCACGTGACAGTTAGATGTATTCAAGTGAGTATGCAAGGATGTAAGATGATGAGGTAATATATGAACCTTCAAATGACAGATTTGTTCATCAAACGGAAACCATGTCATACGCAGTTCACAACTTATTTTGACAATACCAGGTGGCGCTAAGAGAACATCTCCATTACTGCTGACAACATAGTTAACAGGGAACGAAGCATCAAAATGCTCATCAGCACTGAATTATGACGGATTGAGTTATATATATATAGCGTAGATAAGAAGATGATAAGGATACCTATTGAATAAGAGGATATCAGGCTTCCATAACATACTATTGGGCAATTGAATAGTTGTGATGTTTCCATATTCAGATGGATCCCATCTCATTTTGTAATCGTTCCATGTTGATTGTGTCCACACAACTAATGTGACAATCTGATTCTTCTCATCCTTAAGATACATATAGGTTAAGAATAGGTTAACTATATCATATAACTTACTACATCTACTATCTGTTGAAGAATGATTCGAAGTTTAACACGTAATGGTAATGAATGATGACGTACAGGTCGTTCGATAGAATCATAATTCTGACGTAAATCTTGAATCAATCGATACTCATCTTCGCTTGCCCAAACAATAAACGGAACAAGTGATAGAAGCCATAAATGGTTCATCGAAATCTGAATAGTCAAGAGTTGCAATGTGAGAAGAAGGAGGTTGATGACGAACAGTCAAAAAGACATCAATATAATATATCTTTTGTTTTCATTTCTTAAGCTTTCAAATAACATATATAGATGTTTACTTAACACTCTTTACCCTATTATGGTCATCAGATGTCGTGGGGTGTGGGGTTGATGAGGAAGAGGATGGTAATGTGAGATGAAGTTAGAGATCTATATGAAGAGACTAGTACAATAGATACATATAAATATATATTTTAATTATATTTCAACCAGTTTCACGAATTGATTGATGAAAAATGAATTAAAACATCTTCTTCTTCTTCTTCTTCTTTGTCGTCGTCGTCGTCGTCATCGTCGTTGTCTTTCTGATCGTCTTGTTCGTTGTCTTCTTCATCTACGTTCAGAAATGCGATACAACAAGAAGAGGACGGTGATGACACAATGTAACCAACGGATTAAACTGACACAAGCAAATATGAAAAATGATGAAAACGATGATCGTTTTTGTTTCAAAGCTTGACATAATTATAATAGTTCTCTCTCTTTCTCTCTATCTCTATCACTCTCTCATTCTCTCATAGACACTCTCTCTCTATCAGTACAAGAGCATCTTTGAAGATAAACACGAAGGTGTTCTTGCAATCAGCAAAAACACTTGGAAATATCATATGTTTGGCTTGAACTACCTGTATGTCAAGTGATTGAACCAGCTGTGAGAAAGGAGAAGCTCGAATACAAGCCAAATACTTCAGAAGTGAAAGAAGAAAAAAAAGAATTTTTGAAAAAAAAAAAAGGAGAAGAACATTCAATTAGTCTGGAAGGTCGAATGAATTATAAGAAATTTATCTCATATCATGTAACACATTCTTTCTGCCAATTAGCAATATCAATGAGTTGTCGAGAGTGCTTGTGTTGACTATTGATTCATCATCTTCTATCTTCAGATGGGGGGCGGCTTTGATTTGAAGCCGAAACATACGGAAGAGGAGGGCAAAGGCAAGTAGGAGGCAGGAGGAGGGCAGGAGGGCATGAAGAAAGGACTAAAGCTTTGACCATTTATCGCCTAATGAAATCTCTAATAATTACATATTGCAATAAATACACAATTATGTAGTTCTTATAGTGAACGAACGTTTCTAATGTATTCCCATGACTCTGTGGCTCTCCTATTCGTTCGAATCTCCAATAATAGCTTTTTGAGAAACTGATTGAAAAATGTTTTTTGTTCTTCCCTCTCATGATGTATGGGGTGTGTTTCTATCATTTATCTAAAAAAGTAAAATAGAATGAGAGTTGTGAGATTGAAAGAGGGGTTGGAAAGCACCTTGTAAGCGACAGCAGGTTGTAAAACAACTTTTTCCTCATTTCCAGCAAGTCTCACAAAGTCTTTAATAGTCATTTCAATCAATTGATTGTGTTGATGGGTAAGATACCTTGTAAGCATTGAGTAAGAAGAACCTTATGTAATGTGAGAATGCAACATGAAGTGATGAGACCATGTGTTTGAGACACAATGACCAATACATGAGAAGCATCTGATTGAATGAACTTCATTATCAATCTCCTTCTATGAGAATTGGAAAATACCTGAGGATGCTGAAATCCCCAAATATTTCATTGTTATCATAATGATCAATGGAGCTGTCAGCAATGAGATTGGAAGTATGGTCTGAAGATGTCATAAGAATTAGAATCAGACTCCCTATAGAGATGTACGTCTATCTATTGATAGTGAGAATTGTAAACACTGACTATACATCGTAGATGCTTTGAACAACTTCTCATTTTGATATTTCAATTTGAATCTTCTGTGTAAACTCACTTCAATCTGTACATTTCGAAGAATTTTCCGATGAGCACTAATCTTTCTTGGAGAAAGAAAGTTATTGAGTTTACTCAGAGCATTATATGTAAGACAGCAGAGAGTGATGACAAGTATCTTATACAATATGATATTCAATCCAAATATGATACAAGTGAGATGAGTGAAAGACAAGGTGGCAAGTGCTGATGAGTTTGTTGAAGATTCATATATTGAGCAATTCTGTATTGAATGATGTTAACAGATAGATGATAGCAAGGTTACAGCAAACGAACGTCGTCCGATTGAAACTGCTCCATCTGTTGTGTTAGCCTTTGAGATGATCTTATGAAAACTGCTATGTTAGGTAATGAGAATATCGCAAATATGGAGAATAACATAAAACGATACGAAAAACTATCAAAAACTGATTTCTCTTTACGTATCATCCAATAGCGATTTAGGTAAAGACATGCAGATGATGATAGACAGAGATAGTGCCAAGTGATACTCCAGTTGAATTGATAACGAAATGGAATGTTCAAGTATTCACATAAACCAACGGATTTTCCAATCAACAGAGGCAGGCTGTATACAGGTGTCTGTATAGCTATATCATATGATAAACTACTTTCAAACATACTGTTAGAAGAGATAATGACAAGGAGGCTATAGTAGTTATCCAATGATGCACATTAAGATGTCTCTTGAAGTTGCCTTTGTTAACTGGCAGCTTCTCTCTCATCAAGCGAGAACAATAAATTCCAAATAAGAAACATACGATTCCATTGAGATATGATGCACATGAATACCATGTCCTAACTTCGATTGATTCCTTGTCGATGCATATAAGGCTTGTTGTGGAGAGCATTGAATGATTCCATTCGGTAACTCCAAAGGGGCGGACGTTTTTATAAAAATTCTTTTTTTAAAATTATGTATTATGTATGAAGTAGTGTATTGAACGATCAATGAGCTTTGTTGGTGTTCTGATCTTCAGCATACGCTCAGAGCGCAGAACGTTCAAGTAAAGAGTGACCCGCGAAGTCATTGTCTTTGATCTATGGATGAACTAGTGCAAGGTTCACTCTGTGCTTATGAATGAATATGATTTCATTTGAAAGTATAGGTATTGTAATCGTGTAAAAGTTGAATGATCAAGTTCCCTGCTCTTGTTTTTAATAGTTGGACGCAGGTGAAACAGATTGTCCAAGTTCTATTTTAAAGGTTGCATACCTTTCTAATGTTTTTCATGTAAGGCTCCGTTGTGCATAATGAGGATAGGGACATATGTATATATTTCTTTGTTTGACATATTCGATGATCTGAATTTCATGTTCTACAACGTCAAAATGTGAGCGATGTGGTTATCGTAATGAACATAAGTTGCAGATGGAATTCAAAAACCGGGAAGGGGGAAATTGGGTACCTGTATATCCTGTCTCTCCTGAAACGTACAGAAACAGCAAAATTAGGAGGAATGTAGTCATCTTCAATCTGCTTCTATTTGGAGTTAGATTGTTTCTTATATTGTTTTTATCGATGGAACATGAGAGCTGCAAAGCTACAAGCATGAGCGAACCTTGACAATGCATTCGAATTATAGTGTTCACTGATTGATACTCCTTCTGATTAACCGAGCTTCTTGTCTCCAGTTGTTGTGCTCATAAGTTTACAATGGAGATCTACACAACGATCATGAAGATTATTTCCTTCTTTGGTATATTCACATTACTACTCTCCATTTACATATTCATCGTCGTCCCTACCAAGATGAGCCTTATGTTCCGGGCCACTCTAATAGGAAACTCCTTGACGTAAGACAGCTAAAGATTTCTTAATAGGAAGCGTTTTTCTAAGATCCAGCTCTTTACAAATCTTCCTCACACTCGGTGTCATCCCCTCCGTTTTACTACCCTGCTGCGCCTTCCATACCAAAGGACTTATAAATTATATAGGAGTGAGCACACCCATACAAATGTTCTTAGTGTTCGGTTATTTCGGATGTAGTTGCTCTTCTTTTCTTGACATACCGCATATGTGTTTCAGTGGCCGGTTGGTTCATGGTTCTCATCTGTCTGATGAGGGCTGTTGCTGTCTCGGTTTACCTAACGGAACGACGAAAAATGCATATAATTTTCATTTATTTTTTACTGTCTGTCGTCAATCCAACAGTGGTGGCAACGTTGGCATTCAAATTGAAAATTTCTGAGAATGATAGACTCTCCTGTAGGAAGGTTCGTGGTCGCTCTTGAAAACCATTATAAGTGTTACAACTTGCAGATGTTCATCAACAAGCCTCCACCTGAGCTGTTCATGCCAGAAACTCTGGTGTTCAGCGTGAAAGATGATCCTGATGTGATTAATTTCTTATGTTATTGCATATTTACCATAATTTTATTTTCAACAATTGCGATCATATCAACTGGATATCTCTTATGGAGTTTAAGAGCGCACAGAACACAATCCTCTTCAAGTAAAGCTCTGGAGAATCAACACAAGCTGACAGTGGATGTCTTGAAATTGGTTAGTGCCCTTACTCACTTGTAGGTCTAATTCACTATAGGTATTCTTCCAAATGACGGGTATAACTGTTCCTCCGACTGTTATCCTGTTTTACATTCTGAACTCTATCCCTTCCGGAAGTGAGTTTCTTCAATTCATTCATCATTCCAAAGTATTACAGTCGCATCAGAGATACTGATTATAATGTGGGTGATTAACATGAACATAGTTTGTATCCTCATGATAACACTCATCCCTGCCTACAAAGAACGTTTGAGCAAGATCTGCTTATCAAGTAAGGGCTTCAGTTCTAACAAGTTTATCCAATCCTTCAGTTCTTCCTGTGGAGCTTATGAAACGGATGACGAAGCCTAAACCACAGTTGGTGTCTGTACAATCGAGCATCGTACGGTCAACCAGTAGCAGTTGATTAGAACGATGCATAAAAAAAAGAATGCTGGTTAGACAGTGATATTACACTACAACCGGATGTGGCCTATGGGCTTGTCAGCTTATTGGAGGAGCTCAATAAGCTCAAGGTTTCATTCCTCTTCTCTTATTCTTCTATTCAGCTTTCATGAACAGCGATCCTCATATCCACGACTGCATGTGCCTCACTTTGACTTATTGTATTCTCAGTGAAACTCGTGAACAACGAAAAATTGTGATAAAAATTTGTTTT